CTTATCTCAGAATTTAAACTGCAGTTTGGAGGATTACAGAAACTTACCTGTAATATTTTCTCAGAATTCAAAAAATAATGGAAAAAAATTCTTAGAAGGACTTTAGAGCTGCCATAAACTATCAAAGTAGAACTAATTGAGGACCCAAGGCACACACAGATTGAGGACTGACTGCTCACCACCCACGGTAGGCTTATATTTTGCCTTTTTTTACTTCCCGAGCGTAAGCAAAGGAAGTGTTGTAACCGAGTCCGTCGACCCCTAGAAGACGAAGAAATAGGTCTCCCATTTCCGTCTGTCTGTCCGTCTGTCTGCCGTCCCGGATTTTTATTAGACAGATAATCTCCGAAAGTACTGGACCGATTGTTGTGAAATTTTGTGCTTATATTAGGAATATCATGTAGATGATAAAACGCTAACCAAAATTTGTCTAATCATCCCCACCACTAATGCGATGACGTCACTTTTTTTAATTTTCATTTTCTGGATTTGATATCACAATTTTTCGTTTATTCAATTTTTCACATTTTCAATTCCTCGATTTTCCAATTTTCAATATTTAGATTTTACAAAAATTTTCGTGTTTTCGACCGCAATTTTTCGATCTTTAAGTTTCTCAATTTTTAATCTTTCGATTTTTGAATTTTCCGTTTCTTCAATTTCTCAAGTTTTTAGATTTCTCGAAGCCTTCATTTTATAATTTTGCGTTTTTTCATTTGAGTTTTCAATTTTACAATTTTTCCATTTTATAAGTTTTCCATTTTGTTTATTCGGAAAGTAGAAAATGCGAAAAATTGAAAAATCGGAAAATTAAAAAAATGGAAAAAATTGAAGAAACAAAAAATTGCAAAATCGATAAAACGGAAAATCGAATGGAATTTGTTTTTACGATTTTTTTAACTTCGATTTTTTAAACTTTTTAATCTGTATTTCAATTTTTCGATTTTTGGAATTTTCTGTTTCTCATATCTAGGTTTATCGATTTTTTTGAGTTTTTCAATTTTTCCGTTTATCTTTTTCTTAAGTAAATATTTCAGTTTTTAATTTTCCGATTTCGGCCTATTTCGATTTCTCGATCTTTTGAAGTCTCAAGTTTTCGATTTCGATTTCTTGGTTTTTCGATTTTCAAAATTTTCGATTTTTCTAGTATATATTTTAAATTTTCGATTTTTTAAAATTTTCATTTTTCCCTTTTATAATCTTTATGTTGATTATGATTTCTCATATCTCAATTTTCCAATTTTAAAAATTTTTCGATTTCTCGATTTTTAAGTTTTCGCTATCTCAATTTTAAACATCGCAATTTTGGGAATTTTTCAATTTCTATATTTTTCAAATTTTCGATATTTTCATTTTCCCGATTTTGTAATTTTCATTTTCTTGATTTTATATCACAATTTTTCATTTTCCATTATCTTTATTTTTTCAATGTTTCTTTGGATATTGTAATTTTTTGCTTATTCAATTTTTTACATTTTCATTCTTTGATTTTTTAAGTTCTTGATTTCCAATTTTTTTATATTTCGAAGCTTTCATTTTGTACATTTTCAGTTTTACAATTTTTCTATTTTATAATTTTTCGATTTTGTTTATTCGAAAAGTTAAAAACTCGAAAAAATGAAAAATTGAAACAATGAAAAACCAAAAACAGAGAAACTTAAAAATCTATAAAAAAATTAATGAATCGAAGAATGGGAAAGAAGAAAAACCATTCGAATTGAAAAATTGGAAAATCCAAAAATTATAGAATCTTGAAAATTGTAAAGTCCAAAAACTGACATTCAAACACCGAAAAATTGAAAAATTCCAAAAACGAAAAACTGAAAAAGTGAACAACTTTAAAAATTATAATTATTAGGACTGTTACACAATTAAAATGAAAACTAGAAAAACTGCAAATGAAAAATTAAAAAAACGGAAAATTGAAAGCAGAAAATTGAAAAAATAAAGAAAATTAAAAACCCACAGGAAAAATTGCAAATCGAAAAATTGACGAAATTAAAAACTGTAAACTCGTGAAATTTGCAAACTCTAAAATTTGAAACATCTAAAAGTTGGAAAATCAAAAACTGAAAAATCGAGAAATCGAAAATTTTCAAAAATCGAAAGATTGAAAAATCGAAATTTTGGAAAATCGAAAAACTGAGGAATTCAAACTGAAAAAAGATCGAGAATTTAAGATGTCGAAAAATCTAAATATCTAAAATTTAAAAAATAGAAAAATTACAATAACGAAAAATTTAACATTTAAAGAAAACACAAAATCAAAAAGTCGAAAAACCGAGAAATTGAGAAATGGAAAAATGAAAATTTAGAAAAACCAAAAAATCGAAAAGCATAAAAAAAATTAAAATCGGGTATTCGGAACGTAAAAAAAATAAAATCGAAAAATTGAAAAATTCGAAAGTTGAAAAACCGAAAAACTGAAGAAATGAAAAACCAAAAAATCGACAAATTGAAAAATCTCAAAACTGAAAAGTCGAAAAATTGAAAAACCCAAAAATCGATTTCCGGTGAGTCGAAAAATCAAAATTTAAAAAGTTGAAAAATGAAAATCTCAAAAAACTGAAAAATATAGACATTCTCAAAATTGAAATGTTGAAAAATTGAGAAATCGAAAACTTGAAAAATCCAGAATCGAAAAAAAGAACGAAAAGTAAAAACATTTTAAAATCGAAAAAACGAAAAATCCAGATGTAAGAAATCGAAAATTCCAAAATCGAAAAATTGGAATACACGCTAAAAAGGTTAAAATCGGGAGATCGAAGCATAACAAAACATAAAATCGAAAAATGGAGAATTTTAAAAATCTAAAAACTTGAAGAAATAAAAAATTGAAAAATGGAAAAGCCGAGAAATCGAAATTAAAAAATTGAGACATCAAAAGATCCGAAATCGAAAAACCGGAAAATTTAAAACTGAAATACATATTTAAACTTAAAAAAAAAACCGATAAATCAAAATATTCAAAATTCGAAAAATCAGAAATTTTAAAAATCGAAAGATCGAGAAAGCGATATATCAAAAAAGTGAAAAATTTTAAATTAAAAAATTGGAACAACGAAAACTTGAGAAATCGAAAAACTGAAAAATCGATAAATTGGAAAGAGGAAAAATCGAAAAATCAAAGAATTGATTAATAGAGAAATTGAGAAATGTAACAATGATTTTTTTTTAATTGCAAAAATTGTAAAACTGAAATATCGAAAAATTAAGTAAACTAAAAATCGAGAAATCAAGAAATCGAAAAATTGTAATTCAATTTTGTTTTATTTTTCCACAAAAATTTCGATGTCGAAGATAAAAATTCAACACGGATTCATAGACCATAGGTACACTGTTACTTTTTTTTTAATTTATATAACATTAATTTGACAAAATTGTAGAACTGAAGAAACGAAAAATAGAAACATTTAAAAACTAGAAATCGAGAAAAAATTAATGAATCAAAGAACGAATTAAATCGAAAAATGTTCGTAAAGTCCAAAAACTAACATTCAAAGATCGAAAAATTAAAAAATTCCAAAAACGAAAAATTGAACAACTCTAATAAAAATTATAATTATTATTACATATCTAAAATGAAAATTAGAAAACCTGCAAATCAAAAATTGAAGAAACGAAAAATTGAAAACAAAAAAAATTGAAAAATCCAAAAACTGAAAAATTTCAAATTGAGAAAAAGAAAAAATATAAAAACTCGTTCCTCGCGCGTTAAAATATCTCGATTATTAATCACCTTTATTAATAAACTTGTTCGTTAAATAGCTATTACTGGTTTACTCAGGAACTACAAAAAAGAATGCTTTGAAATCTACTGCGAAAAAAAAACATAATAGGCATGCAGTCGTCACGTTTCCGACAGCGAGGGAAGTACTGTCTAAACTCTTTAGACCAATTTTCTTAATATACGTAGTCGTCTTTTCAGAACAAGAAACTTAAAACATGTTTAAAATGGTAAATCCTTCTAGACAAATATGGATTTTGCAATTAAGCCCTGCCCCTCGATCTGATAACGAATGAAAACTTCATCAAAATTGAGAATTTAGATCGGAGCGGGATGGGTGGGGCCTAATCTTTGGCGTTCATTTTCTTAATGTACATAATATTCTTGGAACACGATATTCAAAAACATGTTTTTAATTTCTTGTAGAGAAATAAGGATTTTGCAGTTAAGCTCCGCCCCCTTGGCTTACGATGAATAAAAAAATCACCAGAACTGAGATAGGGCGGGTGGGCGGAGCTACATTTTGTCTTGATTTCTTAATATGTGTAAACTTATTTCGGTAAAAAGAAATTTAAAACATATCTACTACAAGCCCTTTAAGTACGACAATACTTGAACATCAAACTTACTATCAACAGCAACTTGGCAACGGAGTTTATAAATGACAATTTTCAGCTTTAAAACCAATGGGAACTTCAACCTCAACAGCAAGTTTCTAAATACCACTTTTTTCTTGAGAAGATTGTATGTCAATTTCCATTTTCGGGAATTTTTATTTTTTTAGCTTTAGCGATAATTAAATAGTATCTGCAGCCGAGGTCGGTACTCTTCCCAGGTAGGTACCCAATCTACCCGTCCGCGACCTCTGTTATGTAAGGTACTAATCTCTTACTCGCTCCGCAATTTAAGGATTGGCTTAACGACCCATGCACAGCTGGTCCTCAACTTAAGCCCACCGTGCTAAAAGGATCAGGAACGAGGGAAAAAAAGACATGTGTTTCATGTTTGTGTCAAAATTTTTAGTATTTGGTACTACGATCTCTCGTCTTGGCTAATTGTTCACAAAGATGCGTGCAATATTCTGGGTGAGGCTTATCTCAGAATTTAAATTGCAGTTTGGAGGATTAAAGAAACTTACCTGGGATATTTTCTAGTCTTGAGCTGCCATCAAGTAGTACTTACCTGGAACAAGCTAAAAGGATCGGGCACGAAGGAAAACAAAACACGTGTTCTATACAAAACTAATGGTATAAATCTATTGCAGCTTTCTCTCATAATTTTCAGTCTTATCATACCTACAAGAAACCATTCACACAAACATTTTGCGTCCCACTACTTTCTTCCATTTCTGCATCGGCCATCATTTTGAAAAACCTATTCTTGAAAAATAACTGTTTTGTAGCCGAAAAGGTTTTAAATTTTCGCGCAAAGTCAAGGAACATTAGATCAACAGGGTCTAGATGTAGATTTGGAAACGACTGTTCTTGGTTTACTGGGCTCACTGCACGTAGTTCTTCCACACTATCACTGTCAAAACTGGGTTCTTTCACTTGAATTAGTGGTTCTTCCTTAACGGAAACATTGTTTTGGGTGCTGGTACTCGGAAGATTCTCAAATGGTGTGACTTGTAGAGGATCTTCGTGGATTGAGAATTCTTCTTTGATGTCTTCGACTTCTAGCAGTTCTTGTTTGATCGTAATTGGGAACTCCTGTGGGCTGCAAAAAAACGTACTAGTTGAACAGATATCTCCTACTTTTTTTGGTTAGGTTTTGGGGTACTTACTTTTGTGGGGAGGGATTCTGTCGTCGTCGTAAGGCTTCCATTCGAGCCCTAGAAAAAAACTCAGTATGAATTTTATTTGTATTATGACTGTAGATTTCAACTTGGTGTAGATGGTAACAAATTATAGACCAACAACTTGCGTCAATTTTATTTGTGTTGATTTGTTAATATATACAAATTTAGTACTTAAAACTAGTCTATTCTCATTCTTGAATAGTGTGACATATTATCAAATAATTTCCATAGTGGTAGGTACGTACTCACAATTTGTTGTCACCATTGTAACTCACGGGTCGATAATCTTTTACAATTCGTACCACCGTTGTCCAAAGTGTTTCACTTTTAAGCAACCTTTATTCCATTTCTTAGACTGATGTATTGAAAATAACTTCCGTAATTTTTTTTTAGTGTTTGTGCAATGTATAAAATAAGATGTTAGAGAGTTTTCTGCTGTTGATTTTTAATTTTTAGAAAATAATAATGGTACCGTAATTTCCCGTCTAGTGCCTAAATTGTTAGCATTTGGTGGCGCTTACGGCGAAATAATTTGCCCTTCGTTGCCACTACGACGCCTTAATTCCCAGTACTCAATCAAGTATTTGGCTGTCCTTTTTTTTCGTCTAGCGGAAAGACGCAGACGTCCTCCTTTTGTGTAGCGGTATCCTTTATTATCCATATAAAACACTAGAAAGAAATGAATTATGGCAGTTCATTTCATTTTGACTATTATGTGCTTTTGTTGCTAACGATTGTTCATATTTTTGATAAAATTCAAAGGAAAAAATTATCTCTTGACTAAACTAGAAGAAAATCGTTATCACTTTCGGATGCACGAACTTAACCACTGTGGCACCGAAACTCAAACCCCTGGGAAAGTAGATCGTTATTGTGCTTTTATTGACCCACGAGTACGAATTACAGGAATAAACAACGTCCGTAAAATAGCTTCCAGTGTCACAGAAACTAAAAAATAAAAACTCACATCCCAAGCAAGCATTCTTAGCCGAAGAGAACATGTTTAAAATACCTCCAGGTGCATTTTTACCTTCTTAGTCACTTTCCCCTCACGTATCCAAAAATTCAATTATGTATGACGGTCTCGCATAAAAGTTTCGCCTTTTAAATCTGTAATTAGCGTACAGTTCAAGTCCCGATGTGTTGTGTCGCGTTATTTTTTACAACCCTCATAAAGCTTTGTTCAGTACTGCATAAACTTTAATTTAATAATGGTATATGACGCTATTCAGTCAGTGATGGCATTTTAATGAGAACAGGTTTTTGTCAACTTAACCCACAGTTTTTGTTCGTGAGTGTATTAAACAATGTGCACAGGTCGTTAGAACGATAATCTTGATCGGATGTCAATAAATTTTCTGTTCTAAGTTTGGTTTTACTCAGGATTCACACTTGGTGTCTTTCTATAGTACTCAAATTGTGGTTAAACTTAGTTTTTACTTATATAATTTTACAGGGAGATTTGTTCGGTGTTGCGGGTGTGCGTGATGTACTGTGTCAATAAAGAATATCAAAAAAAAAATTGAAGGATGACGGCATTCACGGCACCAACACTACAATGCAACGCCAACATTTGGATTAGGATCAGATTTAGCAGCGGCTATTAACCCAGAAGGAGCGATAGTGAATGAGCAGAATTTCCGACCGAACGACCTTGGCTCATAAATCGTCTTTTTTATCCTCGGAACAGTTCATAATAATTATCAAAAAGGTAACATTATTTATAAGACAGCGAATCTGCTACTATTTATCACACTGGCAGTATTTCAGGTTCGAATTTATGGCGACAATCCCTTTATACGTGGTTTGATAGTAGTTTCACGTTCGAACACGGTAGGTATTATTTCGGTTTCGCAACAAAAAATATCTTAAGTATTTACTTGCCCTTGCAGCACAAGTTATAAAACAAGTTTAATTTTTTAGATAAATTATACTCCTATCTAACATCGGATTCGATGAATTGTATTTTTTTTGTTAAGGCAATTACTATAAGTTTTTATAAAAAGAGATATTAAAGGCCCCCAAGATCCGTCGATAATGAAATAAGTACCAGGGGCCTGCAGAATCTTTTCACAATCTTAAAAAAAAGATCAGAAGCCTCCAAGATTTTCCACATTGTTTAAAAATGACACTAGGAGCTTCAAAAATTCTTATACATTCTTTAAAAAGACCTCAGAGCCCCTAAGATACTTTCACAGTCTTAAAAAGAAAGACTACAGGGAGCTCCGAAATTCTAAAACAAAACAGCAGAAACCCCTTTGATTTTTCCACATCTTTCGGAAAAAAAAATATTCAGAGACCATGAGGATTCTTTCACATTCTTTAGAAAAAAGACAGGAAAGCCACAAACATTCTTTCACATTCTTTAAAAAGATTCAGGGCCCTAAAGATGCCTTCACATTCTTAAAAAAAGACACTAAAAGCTTCTAAGATCCCAGGGAGCCCAAAGATTCTTCCAGAGCCTCAAAAAAGACACCAGGATCACAAAGATATTTTTACATTTTTTAAAAAAGGAGACTAGGAACCCCTAAGATTCTTTCACATTCCTTAAAAAAAAGAGACTTGGAAGCAATAAGACTATTTCAAATTGTTTCAAAAACAAAACACCGCGGATTCTCAAAATTTTTTCACGTTGTTTAGAAAAAAGGGAACAAATTCTTTCACATTTTTTGAAAAAGATCCCAGGGACCTCAAGATTCTTTCAGATACTTAAAAAAATAGTAGGAGACTCAAATTTTTTTTACAGTCTTAACAAAAAGATCAGGAGCTCTCAAGACTTTTGCACATCCTTCAAAAAGACACTATGAGACTCAAAAATCCTTTCACATTTTTTCAAAAGACCCCACATTCTTAAAAAAATAGACTAGAAACCTTCAAAGTTCTTTCACATTTAAAAAAAAGGCACTAGAAATCTTAAGATTTTTTCACATTCTTTAAAAAAAGACACAAAGAGATGCAAAGACTCTTTCAAATTGTTTCAAAAAGAAAACATCACGAATCCTTAAGATTCCTTCACATTCTTTGAAAAAGATCTCAGAGACCCCAAGGTTTTTTCACTGTTTAAAAAAAAGATACTAGGCGCCTCAAAGACTATCACATTCTTAGCCTCCAAGATTATTTCACGCTCTTTAAAAAAGGCATTAAAAGTCGCAATATTTCTTTACATTTTTTCAAAAGATCCCAGGGCCCGAAAAATCCTTTCACATTCGTAAAAAAAGACTAGAAAACTCCTAGATACTTCCACATTAAAAGCAGTTACTAAGAAACTAAGGGTTCCTTCACACTCTTTAAAAAAAGACACTAGGAGCCTGTAAGACTCTTTTACATTATTTAGAAAAAAATACACCAAGGGCCTCAAACATTCTTCGATATTCTTTAAAAAGACCCTGGGGCCTCAAAGATACTTTCACATTCTTAAAAAAGACCAGAATCCTCCAAAATTCTTTCACAATCTTAAAAAAAAGACTTGGGGTCAATAAGACTCTTTCAAATTGTTTCAAATTCAAAACACCACAGATCCCCAAGATTCTTTTACATTGTTTAGAAAAAGGGCAACAAATTCTTTCACATTCTTTGAAAAAGATCCCAGGGAGTCCCAAGATTCTTTCACATACTTTAGAAAAAAGATAGTAGGAGTCTCAAAGATTTTTCACAGCATTAACAAAAAGATTAGGAGCTTCCAAGATTTTTCCACATTCTTTTGAAAAAGACACTACGAGACTCAAAAATTTTTTCACATTGTTTGAAAAGATCCACATTCTTAAAAAAATAGACTAGAAGCCTTCAAAATTCTTTCACATTCTTTAAAAAAAGACAAAGTGATGCAAAGACTCTTTTAAATTGTTTCAAAAAGAAAAAAACATCACGAATCCCTAAGGTTCTTTCACATTCTTTGAAAAAGACCTCAGAGACCCCAAGGTTTTTTCACACTGTTTAAAAAAAAGATACTAGGAGCCTCAAAGACTATCAAATTCTTAGCCTCCAAGATTATTTCACGCTCTTTAAAAAAGGCATTAAAAGTCTCAATATTTCTTTACATTCTTTCAAAAGATCCCAGGGCCCGAAAGATACTTTCACATTCGTAAAAAAAGACTAGAAAACTCCTAGATACTTCCACATTAAAAGCAGTTACTAAGAAACTAAGGGTTCCTTCACACTCTTTAAAAAAAGACACTAGGAGCCTGTAAGACTCTTTTACATTATTTAGAAAAAAATACACCAAGGGCCTCAAACATTCTTCGATATTCTTTAAAAAGACCCTAGGGCCTCAAAGATACTTTCACATTCTTAAAAAAGACCAGAATCCTCCAAAATTCTTTCACAATCTTTAAAAAAAAAGACAAGAGAGCCCCTAAGACGCTTCCACATTCCTTAAAAAAAGACTTGGGGTCAATAAGACTCTTTCAAATTGTTTCAAATTCAAAACACCACAGATCCCCAAGATTCTTTTACATTGTTTACAAAAAGGGCAACACATTCTTTCACATTCTTTGAAAAAGATCCCAGGGAGTCCCAAGATTCTTTCATATACTTTAGAAAAAAGATAGTAGGAGTCTCAAAGATTTTTCACAGCATTAACAAAAAGATTAGGAGCTTCCAAGATTTTTCCACATTCTTTTGAAAAAGACACTACGAGACTCAAAAATTCTTTCACATTGTTTGAAAAGATCCACATTCTTAAAAAAATAGACTAGAAGCCTTCAAAGTTCTTTCACATTCTTTAAAAAAAGACAAAGTGATGCAAAGACTCTTTTAAATTGTTTCAAAAAGAAAAAAACATCACGAATCCCTAAGGTTCTTTCACATTCTTTGAAAAAGACCTCAGAGACCCCAAGGTTTTTTCACACTGTTTAAAAAAAAGATACTAGGAGCCTCAAAGACTATCAAATTCTTAGTCTCCAAGATTATTTCACGCTCTTTAAAAAAGGCATTAAAAGTCTCAATATTTCTTTACATTCTTTCAAAAGATCCCAGGGCCCGAAAGATACTTTCACATTCGTAAAAAAAGACTAGAAAACTCCTAGATACTTCCA